GATTCCCCAAACCTAGACTCCATGAATGAGGCTAGCTAAGGCGTGTGTATATCATATTCACTCTTTTTACAAAACCACATATTAGACGAATCAACAACTTTCAATCTATCACAATACATTAATTCTACAGTGATATTCTCTAAAATGGTTATTTTCTATGTTTTATTCATATGATGAATTATTTATTGGACACCTCCCATCCAGACCCTCAAGAGGATTCTCATTAGCAGCAGTAACCCATTTTCTTCCTGGCATCCAGGAGGATGCACGACCTTGCCCTTCCTACTGTAAACATGATAGGTACAGCCAGGTACATGCCCAAACAACGTGTGCTGTCAATGATTACCTCAGTCTCGCACTCTTCCTGCATTCACTCATTACAGTCAACAAGTTAAAGCAGGGATGTAAATTGGCACTTGCCTGCTAGCCCATGTCAGTTTGTCTCATGTTAAACATGTGGAAGCAGTGTTCATATTTAAGCATGAAAGTCAAGGGGTTCTTGTCAGAACCCTAACGTTAAAAGTAAGAGATTGAGGGGGTGCCTAGATTCATATACAGTAAAAGTCAACCCCTAGAACCCAATGACCCCCCTTTTTAACACCTCAAAGGTACCATGAGGGCTACCAGAATTTCAGGGTTTTCAGGGGGTGTCCCTACTACACAGCACCATGTACTTTTAATTTTATCATTTGTTTCACATAGTGATCGAAGTTATAATATACTACTCAAAAGAAGAACACCCAATCCTTTCATATTTTTATAATTAATCTGTAATCATGGTAATGTCATGACAAATTAACCATAATAATATGAAAGAATCTGGCATGACAAAATAACTACAGTTATATGAAAGAATCAGGTGTCCATTACAGATTAACGTCTTTTGAGTAACATATTAGGACAATACCGTAAATTCTAGTTATTTTCATAGTTTGACGATTTCAAATCATACACCCTGTTGAATAAATAGGCATAATTCTGCATAATTTGAACATTTGATTATGACAAGCCCGCCAGCTGCTTCCTTCCTGGCACTGAGGATAGACAGTACATATTGTGTGTCATACATACACTATTGGATAAGTTCCTGACAATGTCATTCAGCCTTTCAGTCTACTGATTAAGAACAACATCCTGATCGTGACATTATCCCAAAACAAAAAGTGTGTGAAAATGGCTGCTGGCTTGCTGTTCTGTGGCAAGTATATTTAAGGGAGACTAGTCATCATGCAAGTCTTCTGTCCAGTCTGTGTATTTTCTGATTCATTTTCCTGTGGCAGGTACATTGTATCTTCAACTGTAGGCTAGCAGGTTGGCCGAAGGTCTGTCAACCAGTTACCATGGTTACCAACTGCATGTATTTCTACATTGACGACAGTTCAAATTTCAGCATGAAAGTCAAAGGATCTTTGTTGTAACCTGAAGATTAACATTGGGAGGGGACCCTAGACTTAAATACAATACCAGCCATGCTCAAAGATCCCTTAAAATTTCAGATACTGCTGACTAAGCATGTTCACTGATGGATCCAACCGTGAAGATCTAGGAAGTTCTTCAGCAACCAATGCTTGTCGTAATAGGCGACTAACAAGATTGGGTGGACAGGCTCGCTGACATGATTAATGCATGTCCTCATACCCCAATTGTGTGTATTGATGCTCATGATATCAATCACTAGATTGTCTGGTCTAGACTTGATTAATTACAGACCGCCACTTCACATAACTGGAATATTACTGAGTCAGTAACAAACTCAGCAACAAAAGCAAACACTAGTGGATCCTGAGGGTGTTGTAGGGGGAGCAGATTGCACCTAACACATCAACCTATCCTGTATTTTTGTTCAATTTGTGACTTTCGTACAATGCACACCTTCTTCCAGACACCTTCAGCGGTAGAAACAAACATTTTTGGTCCACTAGTCCTTATAATGATAATATATAACAAAACCCTCAAAATGGCAAATCTCTACCAGTCCTTATGATACCTTAACTATTGGGCAGTTTGGCAAAGACTATAGGACTAGTGCCAATTTCTAACCCTGCACTTATATGTCAACCTGACCTGTCATTTTAGTCTTACTTGTGCCTTGCATAGTGTGCACCCTCCTTTTGCAAAATTCAAGTTTCACTCTTTTAATATATGGGCTTTTTCAAGAAATGAAATCATAAATGTTGTTGGTGTTAATCATGTGCAGTACAGTATACAGGGATGAGAATGGATATTTTCCTTTTCAGCTGGAACTTCTTTTCAATGGAGCTTGGCCCCCTTGAAGCCATCAGATTTTAACAAATTTGTTGTCACTAAAATTTGCAGAAATTCACGGATCCGCAGAAGAGTATATACTAAAAACAAAACTAACTGATCAAGCCAATAAATTATCAAAATATTTTAACAAAATGTCTCTGTGAATTTCTTTTCTTTTTATACCGGCAATGAAATGATGTTAAAAAAAAATTGACACAAAACATATCAATAAAATAACAGTTAAAAAAGAGCTAATTTTTATACAAACTGGATCAACAAGCTGTGACATATATCACATATCTGGTAAAAATCAGTCCAATGACGTCAAAGCAATATGTAGTTATCAGTTGTTCACAACACGAGGTATGTAGGTATATGACGAGATACTCTCTTATCTAATAGTGTGTGAATTCATGTGGATTGGCAGACTCTGGTGAGTCATTAGCCTGTAAACATGGTAAACACTACTACGCCCTCCTGACCCCACACCTTGCATACTGAGTGCATCAAGCCTCTCCCTGCCCACACACGTAACATGATGCATTGTGCATACGCTGCACCAGCGCTCTCTCTATGTCAGGTTGGAGGTCTTAATATTAGCGCACACATTACACAGGTGTCATTTTCTTTGTAACCAACATAATTGATATCTTTGAGTGAGTGAGTTGGGTTTTAACGCTGCTTTTAACTGTATTCCAGTTATATCACGGTGTGTCAGCTTAATATGGGAGGAAAGCCCGAAGTGATGCAGGTCTCAGATGTTTATCACTTCGGTGAAACCCATGAGCACGGGTATGGTGCTGACAAACCTAGAAACATAATCGGGTCGAACCGGGATTCGATCCCACAATCATAGATTTCCAGCGTGCCCAAGGGACGCAACTCTGCACAGCGAATCGCGGCGCCTTAGACGACTGGGCCACTCGTGCCCCCTGATATCTTTGAAAAGTATCTGATCAGTTTTGATTAGATTTTTTCAGTGAACCTGCAGGTTTACATATTTTCATATTGCCAATATTCTCATCTACTGTTCACTCTCTTTCATTCAGACAGTATTTAATATAATTCCCAAAACTATCTTGATTAACAGATTAAATAGTGCAAAACTTTCATAATATTAGATGTCATTGAGCAAAAACATTCCCTCCCAAAATGTAACCATGACAAACAGCATGATCAGTGATGAGTAAAATGCATAAAATAAAGATACAGACAAGGATGCCATAATGGGAGACAGTGTCAGCCATCGCAGGAGTTGCTTGTCTGTCTGTCTGTCTGTTGTTTAACACTGCATTGGAGTGAGTGAGTATGGTTTTACGCCGCTTTTAGCAATATTCCAGCAATATCATGGCGGAGGACACCAGAAATTGGCTTCACACATTGAACCCATATCGGGAATCGAACCCAGGTCTTCAGCGTGACAAACAAAACTTTAAACACAAGGCTACCCAACCGCCCCCACTGCAATGGAAAAATGAGTCTGGACCAGACGATCTGTTGAATGACATTGGATGCAATGATCCATGCTGTTAGGGTACGATGACTTGCAACCAACCATGTAACCGAGCCTCACCACCCTATCCACAACAAGCATAGGTTGCCTGGGACCTATCCTAACCCGAAATCACCACAAGATTCAGATTGCCAGGGGAGCTTATCACTTATATTGACACCACCACGTGCCCACCACTGCTCCATGCCCAAAGGATGACTAATATGATTCCTTGGCAACATATTCATGAAACCTAGCCCAACCTTTTCATGGGTAGCTGGTCACAATCTATAAAACTTCAAAACAGGAATACAATTCAGCTACAGTTACAGTCCACTAGTCCTCAAAATGATCACATATAGCAAAACCAGAGCTACAGATAAGCTGCATATTTGCGTAAAATACCCCCCAACTATTCAAAACCCAATTACTTTCAATTAACTTGCATACAGAAACGCATGCAATAAATGAAAAACTCAATTGTTTGAAAACTGCATGTATTAATACCCACTGAAGCCTGCGTACAACAGAGTTAATTTCCGAAACACAATTTTGAACTCATTTACTTTCTGAGTCAAGCCTATATTTAGAACAGTTATATACATCTAAAACATTATTTCTTTTTTACTTAAATCTCAAAATGTTTACTCATTTTGGAGAAAACCCAATAGTGTGATGAATAGATGAGTGAAAAATATTGGCTACCCAATGAAAACTGTAATAACCCAATTAAAACAGAAACCTTCAAGTAAAAACTCCATTGCTCAAAAAGTTATCTGGAACTCTGAAAAACACCTTAAAAAGTGAAACGTTCTACTAGTCCTTATGATACCTTAACTATTGGGCAGTTGGCAAGGACTATAGGACTAGTGCCACCTTTTAATGCTGCAATTGAAGACCCCCATGAAGATCCAGGTTAGAATTTACAACTAAAAGGACTGTGTGCTCAAAGGTGCTGCCTGATGCATGTCATCGTATCACAATTGCATATATTGATGTTAATCACTAGATTGTCTGGTCCAGACTCGTTAAATTTATAGACTGACATCACATAGCTGGGATTTTGTAGAGTGCAGAAATTAAAGAACATATTTAAGACACAAGTCAATTCCAGGCGTATCTGACAGACAACTGCGAACTTGTTATCACAGGTAGAAGTGACAATGACATTTAAGACAACCTTCCCCAAACACCAATGGTGTATGAGCCACCTTTGCTTGGAGGTTTGGGCCGTCAGTAGAAGTATTGACTTAACAATTACCTTGCAATCCATGAGACCAACAACATTTTCGTGGTGGAGATCAGACAGCTCCTGAAATTAGCAAAAATACTTTGAAGAAACACATAAACATGGCATTGACATTGATAAGATATGAGTAACTCTACATTAGTGGGCATGAAAATAGCTATAGAATAACTCTACGCTTGTAGATAAAAAAACTTTCAGAGAGTAACTTCTCCACTGGTAGACATAAATATATGGCCTAAAAATATATTTCTACCCATACACATTTCCTAATATGACAGCATCTAGCATGTCCTGTATCTGTCTCAGTTTCAGTTATTGAAATCATGTAAATGAGACATGTTTCTTACTTTTTAGAAACACTCATTCAAATAGCGCTGTCCCCACTTCCAACACTGAATGCAGATTAGATTAAAGTTGAAAATTTGAGATGCAGCCAAGGCTTTAACTATAATGATTAATTCATAGTGAGAATTACAAGCAAGGGCCAAGAATAGATTGCATGCTACATGACACATATCCTACTGACAAAATGACCACAGCGTGTTCGTCTATATCTCAAAGGCAGGCCACTGTGAAAATAATTGACACGGACACTTAGCTAAAAAAAATGTTGCAACACATTTCAGCCAAAAATATTCTGATTTGATCTTGTTGAGACGGACCTCGATGAAGCAATTCCCCAGTGTTCCCGTAGCACAAGTTTGCAAACGTTGCCGGCGCATCCTTCAATCAATAGTGGTTATCAAGCACAAATTATTGATATTCTTATACCTTGGACTCTGAATGTATTTGAATGTCAGATCCTTGATAAGGAATACTGTTTGTAATAAATTTGTTTTCATACTGCAGTGTTGTATTACGAGATCATTTAGAGAAGTCATTGGGGACAACATGGTCACTATTCCTAGTATCACACTTGCAATGACACTCAAAATTGAAATAGAATATTTCAACAAAAAAAGTTGAGTTGGGTTTAACGCCGCTTTTAACAGTATTGCAGTTATATCGCGGCGTGTCAGCTTAATGTGGGAGGAAAGCCGAAAGTGATGCAGGTCTCAGACGTTTACCGCTTCGGTTAAATCCACGAGCATGGGTATGGTGCTGACAAACCTAGAAACATAATCAGGGCGAACCGGGATTCGAACCAATAATCATAGGTTTCTGACGTGCTCAAGGGATGCAACTCTGCACAGCTATTGCAGCGCCTCAGACGACTGGGCCACCCATCCCCCTAGTTCATGGTAGACATTCACTTAGGTTGAAGGAGGATCATAAGTATCTCTTCTCTGTCCTGCCCTGTGGTATATATGATATGTATACATGTCTATCCCTGTAAGCATGGCAAGGTCTATCATAAAGTAAGAATAGATATTAAAAACACATGATAAATAAAACAAGTGCCATATTTTCTCCAAAAAAAAACACCCGAGCAAATATTTCTTTCAGACACTCTTTACCCCAAATGTCTGTTCGAGGCCTGTTGTTTATAATGTCAGTTTCCGAAAAATGATTTGGCAATTGCTGAGACACATCTCGGGTAATGTAGTTTAAAAGTTCCCTAAAATACCCGGTACTTCTGATTAGTGGGGACAATGTGTTGTCAGCACACAGTATGCAAAAGTAAATATGGCGAAAATTCTGTGCATAAAATCTACCTGGCAATTAATTGAGGCCCTGTGTCTATTATTTTCAGATACCATGTATCCCCTCGTTCCAGGCTCAGTCTTTAATCAAGGAAAAACGATAAATTTCACAGTTTTTTTCTGCCTTTCTTTCTATCTAGTAAGCTTAGATGATGGTAACCCCATACATTAACATTAAAAGTTATTAAATGTTGCCAACACACAGGTTCAGGATAGAAAACTTGAAAACAATTTTAACACAGACTTATCTTGTAATATTAAAAAAGTTAATTTTCCATTGAGGTCAAACACATCTGAATGTCTAACCCAGTGATAGAACCTAACATTTCGGTCCACTAGTCCTTATAATGATAACATATAGCAAAACCCTTAAAAATGGCGTATGTCTACTTGACCTTATGTCTTTTTATGATACCTAACTATTGGGCAGTTTGGCAAGGGCTATAGGACTAGTGCCAATTTCTATCACCGTGAACCTGTGCATATTTCATCTACAACACTATCAGAATACTCAACCAAGCATCAACATATCATCCCAACTATCAACTCCATCCGAAACATACTGTCACCTGAAGAACCAACATATGTTAGGTTCGATTGAATACAAAAGACATGTGAAACGTCGTGAGTTAATTATGCATGCCGAGCAGTAAAACTTTGGCTTAACTCCAACAATTACTGTACTACTTGAACCACAAACAGGAGAAAAGCTTTCAGCATCCCAACAACCATTAAAGTTTTAGTTGTTATATTTACTCAAGTTGTTTGCAGTTAATCGTGGATTTATTTCAGAACAGATTGTTCACATTTCTGTCGGAAAGTGTCAGGTTTGTTTACACTACCGTCTACCATGTAAAAAATGTTCCGAAACTTGGCATACTTGATAAAGGCCAAAGTTATCTTAACTGCTGGTTCTATGTCATGTGACCAGCAGAAATAGCAGACGACTAGCTAATTGGACAGTTCAAAATGATAATCTTGCTTCTCATGACATGAATTGTTTGATAGGCATTACTGGAAAACAGTCTTGCTTGACAACGGTATAAGGATCAATAACGAAACATCGCCTTTACGGTATTAAAGAAGCTGTTATCCATAAATTGTGTCTACTTTGTTCTCATGACATCCTTGAAATATGACTGTGGTGGGAGAGGCATTAGAATTTAATTTAACTAATAGGCTACAAATCTTGACAAAATATACCATGCAACACTTTTTAAACACATCTCATGCAAATGGAAGGATCATGTGCCAGGGTAGAGACCAAGGTGACCACAAACCTGACACACTATGAAAGTCTTGGTATGAGCCAGGGTAGAGACCAAGGTGACCACAAACCTGACACACTATGAAAGTCTTGGTATGAGCCAGGGTAGAGACCAAGGTGACCACAACCTGGCTCCCCACACACCTGACACACTATGAAAGTCTTGGTATGAGCCAGGGTAGAGACCAAGGTGACCACAAACCTGACACACTATGAAAGTCTTGGTATGAGCCAGGGTAGAGACCAAGGTGACCACAACCTGGCTCCCCACACACCTGACACACTATGAAAGTCTTGGTATGAGCCAGGGTAGAGACCAAGGTGACCACTACTTGGCTCCCCACAAACCTGACACACTATGAAAGTCTTGGTATGAGCCAGGGTAGAGACCAAGGTGACCACTTCTTGGCTCCCCACAAACCTGACACACTATGAAAGTCTTGGTATGAGCCAGGGTAGAGACCAAGGTGACCACTACTTGGCTCCCCACAAACCTGACACACTATGAAAGTCTTGGTATGAGCCAGGGTAGAGACCAAGGTGACCACTACTTGGCTCCCCACAAACCTGACACACTATGAAAGTCTTGGTATGAGCCAGGGTAGAGACCAAGGTGACCACAACCTGGCTCCCCACACACCTGACACACTATGAAAGTCTTGGTATGAGCCAGGGTAGAGACCAAGGTGACCACTACTTGGCTCCCCACAAACCTGACACACTATGAAAGTCTTGGTATGAGCCAGGGTAGAGACCAAGGTGACCACTTCTTGGCTCCCCACAAACCTGACACACTATGAAAGTCTTGGTATGAGCCAGGGTAGAGACCAAGGTGACCACTACTTGGCTCCCCACAAACCTGACACACTATGAAAGTCTTGGTATGAGCCAGGGTAGAGACCAAGGTGACCACTACTTGGCTCCCCACAAACCTGACACACTATGAAAGTCTTGGTATGAGCCAGGGTAGAGACCAAGGTGACCACAAACCTGACACACTATGAAAGTCTTGGTATGAGCCAGGGTAGAGACCAAGGTGACCACTACTTGGCTCCCCACAAACCTGACACACTATGAAAGTCTTGGTATGAGCCAGGGTAGAGACCAAGGTGACCACAAACCTGACACACTATGAAAGTCTTGGTATGAGCCAGGGTAGAGACCAAGGTGACCACTACTTGGCTCCCCACAAACCTGACACACTATGAAAGTCTTGGTATGAGCCAGGGTAGAGACCAAGGTGACCACAAACCTGACACACTATGAAAGTCTTGGTATGAGCCAAAAGTTGCATCCATTGCAAAAACGAAATTTGAGGTACTTCTTAACATGCTTACATCATGTACATGGCTTGAACATGTTAACAGAGGCCAAAAAAGGAAACAAGCAAAATTAGGATTGGAGGCAATTCTAGGGGTGGTTGGGTCATGAGAAACAAGAAACTTATTTAACAACCCTTATTTAAAGTTAGTGATTCAGTCAAAGAAGCTAATAGGCTCACATATGTCCGAAGCAGTTTATTTTGTCTTAAATCTACCCATGCAACATATGCAAAGGAGGTAATTTCTTTGATTTTCGCTACAGTTATGTATTATTAATTCACATAGGAATTCAAGGAAAACAAGAGATAGACATCATAAATTAGTATTAAGAGACAATTACATCATGTACATAACAATATAATAAGTGATGTTTTTCAAAACAATATTTTGCTACTAAAAGATTTGTTCAGGGACAAAATTCCTTGGTTCAAAGAAATTGGTGAAAACTGACTATAAATATTAGATACATGACATAAGGGAGAATGTCACAAAAATGTCTCATCAGCATTCACAAAACTGTTTTACCTCCGCAGTGAATTATTCATTTCTGAAATGCCCCACTGACATATAAGAATATAAAGAGCACTGACAATCCAGTTGGGAGAGAGTGCTTTATCAAGTAACCATTACTACCGTAAATAACTGTGAAAACTCAGTCTAGAATCGCAGTAGAAGGTTGTGCTGAATGACATGTCATCCTTTACTCCTAAAGATTTCTTAGAGCATGTTAGAGTGAGTGAGTATGGTTTTACGCTGCTTTTAGCAATATTCCAGCAATATCACGGCGGAGGACACCAGAAATGGGCTTCACACATTGTACATATGTCGGGAATCGAACCCGGGTCTTCGGCGTGATGAGCGAACGTGTTAACCACTAGGCTACCCGACCGCCATATTTCTTAGAAGCTGTGCTCTGTTCACATTGGGCAGCAGCGACCAGCTGCCACTGAACCACACCACAATATATACAGTGAACCCTTGTTAGTCCACACCCTGTTAATCCAGAAACGCTAGCATCCAGACAAGTACTGTTGGGAACATCCATACTGGTCAAAAGATGTCAAAGAACACCCAAATTATGTCTTAACTCTTTTGAGTTGTATATATAGTTAATGTGACATTACTAGTTATCTATGATTTGTATATAATGTTAATCTGGATACTTGTTAATCTGGACTTCTGATTATATCACTGTTAACAGGATCATCCAGCTTCACAGGGTTTTATTGTTTTACTGTTCAAAAGCCTGCATCAAGTGATGCTCCAATCAAATAAACAGTTAACTGAGTTAATGTTTCTAATAAAAACAGCACATATATTATATTTAGAGTGCTAAAATTTACTGTAAATGATGCCAAAGACAAGTTTGGCTAAGTAGGCCCAAAATGTTTGCCAAAGAATGTGTACTACTTCTGAATGAGAATGATTTTCAGGACATAAATATTTTATAAACAAATCAAAACCAAAGGAGATGTGAATCAAGAATGTCTATGTAACGTCCTTAAAACAAAATAAAAACAGACACCTCGGATTAGAAATATGAGACATCTTGTCTTCATGCTATTGAAAAATGAATGAACCCAAAAAAAACAATCTCATTAAAATCAGATCTAAGTTCTCGTTGCCGCTTAACAAAGATCTGAGGACATCCCATTACAGGTAAGGTCAGAACGAACTTTGACGACCACTCAATCGCCTAACAAGAAGTCGACATCAGCTTATTAGAAAACAGTTTTCTCGAGCTTTATGGCACTCGTTTCAACCTGGCGACTTCCATTTTAGACTACGCTTGAAAAATATGTCGACACAGTTCTCGATTAGAATTTTTAAAACTGAACAAACGAACATTCCAGAATGTCTAATATATGTTTGCAATTGTATGGCAGTGCTTCACACGTACTGTACCACGCCTCCTCCGTTCAAATGTTTATCCCACTGAAGCGAGAGACAGATGATAATTTTGACGGAATCAGTTTACGGGTCGTAACTGTCGTTCGGAATACCCCGTGTTAAGTTTTCGAGGTTGCATGATTTGAAAACACATTCCTACTGTCACTTTCGTGATCTGGTAAGCGACGCTTTGATTGGTCGGATGAATTGTCGTTCTGACGTGACCCGTAATGGGATGTCCTCAGATCTTTGTTTAGCGAAAGCGAGAACTAAGATCTGATTTTAATGAGATTGCAAAAAAACCAACTGTATTATTACTGTTGGAAATGTCTCAAAGAGAAAGCACACAACACACACACTTGTTAATCCTCAAATTTGTTAATCCAGATAATTTGATTAACATGATTAAGAAGTTAAGAACAAGGTTTCAATGTAATAACATTTAAGACTATCCTTGCTGCCAGGCTTGTTATAAGATTCACGCTTGGCTGACGACTCACTCCACAGGGTTATTTCTGCAACACCACAGGCTATGCCTGAGCCATCAATACACTGAATTAGATGGCTGTCACACCTTAGCCAACAGTCACCACCATCTAATCTACATTGATATTAGCCTGACTAACACTCACATATTGACAGAAATCTCCAAACGTGTGGTAATACCTCTAGGCTACATGATGAGGCAAATAATTCCCTACTTCACTGCTATGTATCATCATATTAATTTACTTGACCGCTTGTCAGACACACCTAAACCTCACTGGTCATACACAGTGGTGCCCTTTGACAAAGATGGGTGATCAGTCATAAGTGACCTCACCTTGAGAATCTTGATTTCTTTACTGAGGAGCTGCTGAGATTTGGCAATGTTCTTCTTTGTTATACTCTTGATGGCGACCGCCTTGTCGGGTCTCTGTAAAATAATTGAAAAAAATATTATTGTTACATCCATATTCATGGCAACAAGTCAAGTAAGTTTGACCTGATTGAAATTAATGTTGAATTAGAATAGATGGATTGTGTAGGCTTTGTTGATGCCACGTTGCGATTATAGAATCTGTTTGCCACCAAATAGCATCATAAAAACTAGGTATATCTCAAGTTAATTACACATACATAATCCATATTTACGTATTATGTACATACAATACATATGTACAATCCTTAGGGTTAGTTGTGGTAGGGTTAGGATAGGTAACCCACAATTCTATCATTAGCCCTCGGATCATTGAATGAAAATAGTGGCAAACATATTCTACAGCGGCTCCGTTGCCACTCTCAGTCTCACCATGATTAGGAAACACTAAGTCGTAAGGAAGAGGTTAGACTTGCACAAGTCTCTAAAGCAATGATTATTAGTTTAAATCACAATTCCTAGATTACAGAAATAATAGGAACAATTTGTCCTATAAAAGACTGGCATCCTTAGACTGTCCACTTATCTTGATTTGCCTATTCCAAGGCTAAAATTGTCATCCTTCCATGAATTTATCATTCAGTAAAGATTTGGAGCAAGGCTATGAAGCGGTAGATGTTTTAAATAGAATGTTCAATAGGTAACTGCTTATCTGACTGATCATCTAATGCATCATTGAAGACAAAAATATAAGTACATAAGTAACTGCAACAAATTCACACAAAAAGACTATTGAACATGTTCAAATTGAATGGCTAATAACACGATGATATCAAAACATCTTGAAAGAAAATATAAGTCAGATTTTTCATCTACCTTAGGCTTAAGAATGCTTCAAGCAGGAGATGCCCTTATATAGATGTGAAACAGACACACATCAATGTTCTGATACTATCACCCATTAACTAGAGTTCCTTCTGGCAGTCAAAGGCTATTTATGAGTCTCATAACCATTCTTCATATGTCTATACCTTTGTGAAGGCTGTGAGCAACCACCTTGTCTAGCCGTCCAAATGACCAGTGCTCACTCAAGCATGACATCAACAGAAGTCACAAGGTATTTTCCTTTCAACAAGTTCTAAGAGCAAGACATATCTTTTCAAATTATGAAGTTTTTTGGAGATTATTACACCTTTGCTCATAAGGATAGCACTCCAAATAATTAGATACCCACGAATGCTGATATCGGTTTTACCAGATGAAAAATATCAACAACAAGCATCAACCAAATCTGACTACCCTATTCTGTCTGTTGCTTCTTAAGACAAGCATGGGTTGCTGAAGATCAATTCTAATCCAGATCTTCATATGTTGGATGGCAAAGAGTATAGACATAGGAATGATTGAAACTAAATAAATCTAAGCATGCACATAAGACTTATCTGAAATTTGTATGTTCTGATAAGAAATACAAACAATGTTCAGTTCATATAAGACACTCTCTACATTACTAAGTTTCGAAATAAGGAAATCACTATCTATTATAAACCATAAATGTATCCTGGTCACCTAGCACCAATCAAAGTCAAAGACCCCAAAAATATATTACCAAAAGTACCCAGGACTTGAAAATATACAGACCTGTGATACATGTGGGTACATATCAGTCATTAATGTTTAATCATGAATCAAGGTTGGAATTGGTCCCTAGCAACCTATGCTGGTCGTAGGAGACAACTTGGTCAGACTCAGTGAGTTGGTTGATAATATGTCAACATACTCCAACTGCGTGGATCGATGCTCACAACATCAATCACTGGATTGTCTTGTCCAGACGAAATGATTTACAGGCCATACCTCACAATTTTAACAGTTGGATGAGAATCTAATACTTACATTATTGTGGCCTCATATGGACAACTGTCATTTTATAGAGCTCAGCCTATTGTTGAGACAATTTAAGCATACAATAAATGTTCAATGCTGCTGTTATCTTGTCTTGACGTTTATCTTGTCCATTTATATGACACACAATTATGAATATTTCCAAAATAAATATTTCACCTTTAGATTTCTTGGAATCTTTCTCTAAATCTGTTTCTTTAAACACAAATGAACAAGGTGGAAGGACTTTTTGATTTAATAAAAAGGAGATTGCTAAACATGTTAAAGTAGACATTGAACAATACCACCATCCCTGTCAATGTAGTTATTGTAAAGGACATTAATCTTGGTTTTACCATGGATGCTTTTGGTCACTGTTCGAAACGTGTCCAGTTCAAGGACAACTAAACACACTTAAGTTAACATTAAAGTTATTCTTTCAGAAAGACCATAAGTCAAAATATCATTTTTTTTACTGCTGTAATCATGGTAATTAAACTTAACTGGAAAAATTAATCCTTTTAACCACTGAATTAGGTTGCTATCAAAACACTTTCAATTAACAGCTTGGAGGGTCAAGGATAATTAGATCAGATGTTTTCACACTCAGTCAACTAATTAACAACCAGTGTCAATTACTGACATATGTGTTTAGCTTGGGGCAATAAACATACACAGTTACACTGGATGTTGCTACTGGAAAGGCATTTGTTGATGTACTGGAGGTTTCAATGAGGCAGAATATACAACTAACATTTAATCAAGGAAAACAGCTGAAATAAACACTCATCCAAATGACAACACACAGTTAAACCAGTTCAGGTTAATGTATCGACTCTAGGAATTATTCCCATGGTCATCAGTGAAATACAGCAAAGTAATTTAACTAGGAGCAGGTTCATGGAGGAGTGCTACCATTCATGTATGTATGTCAATCATAACTCTTAGCAAAGGAACAACATTCCTCTAACAAAATCTATTGTTATCACTAATCATGACCATGATTGACCAACCTGTGAGGGACAAAACAGTTTGAAAAAACTAAACATAAGTAGTGCACAAATCACACTAGTCTGTCTCCCAGGCCCTAAAGAACAAATTAAACAAGAATCCAACTTAAGTCTTGATTGATTTGTCAAGTCTAGATTTCCTCAACTCTGAAATTAAGCATTGTTCTCGGCGCAATTTGGATCTTATTATTTGTAGACTATATTTTTTAAACAAGATAACTATATTTCTGTGGCTAAATGTTAACCTACAAGTACACATATTTCATATATTACAAACATTAGATCACAATCTGCCCATTGTTCAAAATAGTGACAAGCAAAGGATGAACACAATGGAAAGTTTACAAACATTAGAACAAAGGAAATATGTTCTGTTAGTACGTATATAAATAAACATTCTTCAGGACAATAACAATCAAAGGAAACATTTTATCAGCAATGATTCTCAGCAAATGAATGTGAAAATTTGACTGTCATTATCACAACATACAATAATATATCATATGAACCAAGCATGAATGTTACAAAGTGATGCAACTTCCAGTAATCCCACCATGTCTACCCCGGTTTATTTATTTATTATGTGGATCTATTTATAGATATACATGACATACAGCGTGATTTTACCTATGTCATATCCAGGTGTGTCATTGCTTTACATAACCAATCCTTCATAACAAAACTGTTTGGAATAAGAATCAAGAAGTTACCTGGACAATCACAACTAGATCTATTATCTTAAACAGACTATAAGATGCACAAGGAAATATTTCTCACAACAAAGGATAAGGAAAATTAATTTGGAGGATTTTCTACGTTTTGAACAACATGACCTCCTTGCACTTTGCTAGAATATTTTATAAGAACACACATGAAGGTTCATTTTGCTTTGAAACCTTAGAATAATGCTCTTGAAACATTGGCCCAGACAAAGTTCTCCCAAAATTTACACTGAGTCTATTGTTTATACTGACGTAAGAAAAACGGGATGGACACTAAAACACGCCAATGCAGAATATACACAGTAAACAGAATATACACAATGATAAAACAGTTTTGCAAATGACAACATCCACACATTTCAGCAAATATGACGGCAGTGCCGTAATGGAATTTGACAGGCATTGTTCAATTGACAGTCTGAGAATTTGGTGCCATTAGAATCTTACCTTTCGATTTCGTCCCTTGAAGACAACAGCGAATGCCCCATGACCAATGAGGTCTTTCTTGTTGTATTCGTACTCCCCAAGATTCTCCATTTTTGTATCTTGAAATATCCAAGACCTATGGACTGATATTAAAAATGATATTGGAAATGAAGAACGACCAGAGCTGACAGAATCTGGTCGGGGCCATCCTTGATGGCTAGGTTAAAGGCGATTTACATGATCGCAAGAGTCCAACATGACTCATATAAAATCTAGGACTCCATTTTGAAGTTAAATATTGTCAATACTCTTCCTGATCTTCACGGACATCGACGTAATCAGTTGCTTTTGACGACGCAAATTTATTCTTTCTTCTCAATGCGCTCGTATGTCAGTGACCACCTGATTATGTTTGGGTTTTGACCTTTTCACCACCCGCCATCCGCCTAAAATATAGGGCGCCGAAATAGGGCGCGCTATTTTATTCGGAGATTTGCTATTTTTATATTAAAGTATGTAATTATATCTATGTACGCCATAACTGTCCCAAGCATATATAGTTGTTACATGACATTTAATATTGAAAATATCGGTCAACCACAAAATGTATTCAATTAGTTTTCTGAATATATTATGCCGCGTTCGAAAGTAGTGCACGCACCTTGTCAAATTACCGTGCTATCTCGCGAGAGTTAAATGTGCGTGGTTTTTGTGTATAGAGAAGAACCACGTGGTACAGGCCTAAGATGAGCAATTATGCCATTATACATACATATTTGTCACTGTCATCGAAAACGCAACATAATTACTTAAATTCGCATCTTCTGGACAGTATTTTCGTGGTGTTTAGATGAATTTGAGCCGAGGTAAGGCCTCCACATGTTGCACAACTTCGCATTTTCGCCCAAAACTATGGCGCTTGCATTCGTAAGGTCCAATCGGGATTGTGATTAATTATTAGTGCGTGTTTGTGTGGTGGGAGAGTTGTCATTGCAGTTAGTCACTTGCTGTTACTTGTAACAGTGTATGCTGTTAAAATTGGTATTTTTGTCTGTCATTTTGTTTAATATATGCCGCCCACGAGATCCATATAAACAGTCTACATGGAATGTTTTGATTATTGTCAAGGGCAAGATAGCTCGAGCTCATTGTCGTCTGTTGTGAAATACAAACAAATGCACCGTGTCAATGTGAGCATTTATTATTATCAGATTCTGCATATAATTTTTCCCAAAGATTCACACCAGTGATTACGATGACATTCTCTGAATTGATGGTTTGTGCGTGATTTAAGCGAAATCTTTCCTTGTACTTTTGGCGTTGTTGTTATGACGATCTGTAGACCATGTAAAATGTGAGATTGTCGAATAATCAGAGAGTGGAACACTCATTGTCTCACATTTGCAGGATCAGTTTTGTTCATTTAGTTAAACAAGATTATTCTGCATATGATCTGACCGAAAAGGCCCTACTTGTATATTTCTGATTTGATGGTAAAAAATTGGCATCTTTCTTCATATTGCAGGTTAAGAGCAACTGAAGATTAGTGAGACCAGTTTGAATATATCTTATTATTTCAACTAGTTGACTGCAGTTTACAATGCTTGGCTACATGGAGCTAACTGACTACATCAGTGGCTTTGTCGTCACTGACCTTGATGTCTAGGTTTAGTTGTTTTCGGATAGGTTACTTCCAATTCAATCCTTAGCCCCTAGATCCCCTTTCCGATCCTAAAGGTTAGTTCTGGGCTAGGGTTTGCTATCTCACCTCTGTTTAGCTAAGTAAATCCATAAACTTTTTAGCAGTTCGTGAGTTTTGAGGAAGACAGTGGCTAGCTCATTTATGTAGATGCTTGGGTGTTGATTACGAAATAAACAAGCCCATGGTGCTGTGGTAAAGTGTTTGCTAGCTTCTAGCTGGCAGCATGAGTTCAATCCTCTTCACATGTGGCATTAAGTCATTAATTGGAATCGCTACATACATGACATATGCAGGGAGATTCAACTTGTTATAAACTAAATACTCGATGTGTTACGCTTTGGATAATCTTTCATGCATAAATTTCCTCATAGAAAAAGGTTTTATTTTCTTCCTAGCATATTATTTTCATTTTTATATTTGTGATAAATGTCTCCTCTTGGGCATGTTATTTGAATGGAGAATGTTCAAAGGGAAGATAACTCAGATATCCACAGTAGTTAGGCCATCTATTTCTCCAGGGCTCGCATTTTAGTCAAATTACACTTAACCCCCAGATCCATTTCGTGGTTCTCTCGATCTCAAATTACTAATTGTCTTTTTCTTTTCAGTACTGTGATCAAAGGAGTCAATCAACATGCCAAATTTGCGTCTTGTCCTGTCCATAGCTTTGCCCTCAGTCACGGCACTGCTGGGATTTCTCTACTTTTTTGGTCGAAAAAAAGACAAGGGGAAAGATAGAAGGGCTATCACTTTTGACAAGGTCAAGGACACTCCCAACAAGGTTAAGGACACTTCCCAAGAGAAAGAGTACAATCACAGCAATGGTGGTGTTGAAGAATACCAAACAAATGAAACACCAGATGTCAGGCATAGAAGCTCTGATCAGATTCTGCAAAACAGAGAAAGGGACAAACATGACAGACAAACTGCCAATGGGCAGAAACCGGTTAGCAGAGAACAAGATTTCATGAAAGATGAAATACACAGTGTGTACATATCATCTGTTCAAAGTCTGCCGGAGTCCACCGATTTAGTCAAAGACACTACGCAAGAACCTCCAAGTGTGGCAGAGGATGTTAATTCCAGTGAACAAACTCCTGGGTTGAAGGATACCAGTATTTGGGATACAGCCGAGTCTCTGCCTACAGTAGTGTCGCCATCTAGTTCTAGTTCCATGTCATCACCAGGTGAGTCTCCTCGTGCAGAATCCGATGTTGTCTCACAGAACGATGTACCAGTCTCATCCACAGAACCTCTGGATTCTGTACATACCTCAGACTACACCACTGTAAGTGCTAGTAAGACTCTTGCCTCACCTAGTGAAAGCTCTCAGGAAGGAGTTGGTGCTAAAACTCTCAACCATGACGATTTGGTCCCTGTGGCAACAGACGTTTTATCAAATGACGGAGTGTCAGATCAGATCTCTGTTTCCAAAGATGATCATATCCAAACCTGTAAAAGTGATCAAATTTCTGCCAGTAATTCCCACATTGAAGCCAGCTCATCTGTGATTGGTGAACCATCTAGTTCATTGGACGTTTTATCTACGACTGTCAGTGTTGACTCTGTTGAGGCATCCAGTGATCACGAGTGTGTTGGTGCAGACACGAACAAGACAATGGACAGTTCCATCTCGGTGGACAGTTCCATCTCGGTGGACACTGCATCATCAATGCTGTCCCAAGAGAAAGTTCCCGCCAGTTCTAGTGCTGCCAGTTCAACGGGAGCAGACACGACGTTAGGTGCAGAACGATTAATGGATCAAAATGGTAGTGCGGCCATCGCTGGAAGTTCAGAGTCCCCAAGCTGTGATAGTAATAGTGAGGTAGGTGTAATGTGTCAGCTGGCAACTGTGGTAAATCTACCCTGGTGGAATCTGGGTTAAAATAGGCACATAGTGTTTGTTGTTTAACACTGCACTCAGCAATATTCCAGCTATATGACAGTGGTCTGTAAATAATCGAATCGGGACCAGACATTTCTCAATCCAGTGATTGACATCATGAGCATTGATCCATGCATATGGGATACAATGACATGCATCAACCAAGTCAGCGAGCCTGACCACCTGGTCCTGTCGCCTCTTACGACAAGGATAGACTCGATTATTACAGACTGCCGTCATATAGCTGGAATATTGCCGAGTGCAGCGTTAAACAACAAACAAAACAAACAAAAAAAGGTCAAATTATTAATCATGGTTCAAATTTCATGAACTTTTATATAATTTTAAGAAAAATCTCAAAGTAACTTATTCATCACCAACCACATGTCCTGATTGTGTCAAATGTCAGGGTCACTTTGCTAATGTAGATATCCCTAAAAACATGTGTAAATATCTTGAGCATTTATGATTGGAATTTGACAGAACTTTATATCCATGATCTCGTCAGTTCATGTCTGAGTTTGAAGGTAGAGGTCATTACATTTCCAGTCACAGTATGATGTCTTTTAGCTGTGTTATGCTGCTGCTTTTTTTTACCAAACTCTATCAAAGACAAAGGTACAAGTAGCCAAGCTCCATTTCAGAATAGGGTCGGGGGGGGGGGGGGGGGGGGTGGTCATCTCCTGAGGACTCGTGTTATTAAGGTAGATAGAGGCATAGGACTTTGTTTGAAATTTGTACAGAATGTTGGGTGTTTTTTTTGGTTTGGTTTGTTGTTTTATGCCGCACTCAGCAATATTCAAGCTATATGACTGCGGTCTGTAAGTAATTGAGTCTGGACCAGACAATCCAGTAATTGACAACATCGGCATCGATCACGCAATTGAGATCGGTGACATGCATCAACCAAATCAGCAAGCCTGACCACCCGATCCCGTTAGTCACCTTTTACGACAAGCATAGTCACCTTTTATGACAAGCATGGGTTGCTGAAGACGTATTCTACCCTGGATCTTCACGGGTCTCATGTATACGTCGAGATGGGTATTTACAAATCTCTATAAAAATAAATGCATATTAGATCGTGAAATTTCTAAACAAACATTTTGTGGACATTCTATCCCTGATTTTTAAAGTTTGTACTGAAGGACGAATAGACCAATATTTTTTCAGATATAACAATTTTTATTGTTAAAGGAATAACAAAGCTAACAATAAGTTGTAAAAATAGGTAAATTTTGTAGATACACCTCCCAACTGTCACATGCTTGTCATCTAGAGCCGAGTAAACAGGATTGGTTGGTCAGTCTTTGTGGTTGGCTGTCACTGTACCATACGAACATAAAACTAAAAAAAATAAATTTTTGTCCCAATATTTACTTAATAACGTGGGTGGCCTCTTAAAAATGTGGATTTTAAATTCCAACTACAAAACCTGGTTTTTCACGTACTTGGTCACAGAAGTGACTTTGCATGCCTTGTGCACTGGGATCACCGATCTGTGAGCGCTTAATTTCTGGCTACTGCTGTTGTGTTTTGCAGCACCTACAGCTTACTTCTTGTTCATGAACACACAACATGAAGTGTAGCTGCTTGCCTTGGTAGTCGTAGGATGCAATCACTGATAATGACTTCGGTGTCCAAATTGTGGAAAAACAAAATATTGATTCATCATGTACTTTATCATATTTCAGTTGTTTCTCTTTCTTTCTTTTTGACAATTCCATAAACAGTGTTCAAACTTAAGGAGGAAAGTCAGTGTCATTGTCATAACCCATACTTGGAAGTTTCGACCTGTGAAGATCCGGGATAGAATAGGTTTTCAGCAACCCATGCTTACCGTAAAAGGCGACTATCGGGATCGGGTGGTCAGGCTCGCTGACTTGGTTAATGCATGTCACTGATCCCAATTGTGTGGATCGATGCTCATGATATCAACCACTGGAATGTCTGGTCAAGACTTGATTATTTACAGACCGCCATCATATAGCTGGAATATTGCTGAGTGTGGCATAAAACAACAAACCAACCAACTTATAAGTTTCAAATTTAGTGGTTTTAGATTCAACAATTATTGGTCATTCATAGACATGAACAACCAGGTTCTCCTACACTGCATTAATATAATACCAGACAGAATATTTATTAACTTCTTCTTATATTTGTCAAATGAAAAATGATCTCACAATGTGGCTAGGGGGCACGGGTGGCCCAGTCGTCTAAGGCGCCGCAATTCGCTGTGCAGAGTTGCGTCCCGTGGACACGCCAGAAACATGATTGTGGGTTCGAATCCCGGTTCCCCCTGATTATGTTTCTAGGTTTGTCAGCACCATACCCGTGCTCGTGGGTTTCACCGAAGTGGTAAACGTCTGAGACCTGCATCACTTCGGTCTTTCCTCCCACATAAAGCTGACACGCCGTGATATAACTGGAATAATGTTAAAAGCGGCGTTTAACCCAACTCACTCACACTCGCAATGTGGCTTGTATGGCTTCTAACGTGTAATGATGTATCAGTGAGATAGGTGCTGTGTTCCAGGCTTCCAATGATAGCGGCAGAGGAGGCAGTGTCTCTGAACCAATGCCGCCCCCGATGATGGTGTCCGATACTGTCAGATACGAGTTCAACTTTCCCTCGGAATTGTGCGGTCGTCTGATCGGCAAGAATGGTCGCAACATCAACCAGGTGAAGGAGAGGTCTGGGGCGAACATTGCACTGAAGAACAACCCATGTACACCAAACTACCAGATTTGTGTCATCGAGGGTAGGATTACATTGTTTTTTTTGGTTTTATCATGTCCAAATGTTGTAATGACCTAGGTCACTGGCCATGATATTGCTGGAACATTGCTAAAAGCGGAGTAAAACCATACTCACTTACTGTGATGACCCAGGAATTTCCATCGCAAGGATCTAAGGTTCGAAATTATGGAAGGTCCTTGAGGTTTGCTTGGATTATATTTTTGTCCTGAAACCAGCCTATATATTTAATATCTAATGTCAAATGTCTAATGTCAAAGTCGAGGGTATTAGTGAGCCCAGTTCACTTTTTGCCTTGTTCCCGCTAGTATGCAAAAGTTTCTGCCAAGGATGTGCAATCGACCTAATTGTAAGGAATTGTCACTAGTCCTTCCTTCACTTGTCCTTTACTAGTCTCAGACTTAGGTTAATTTTGAACCCTGGTTTGTGATCACAGTCTACCCCGGGTTTAATGACTTTGTTCGATGAAGTTGATGCATGTTACATTGTTGTGCAGGCATGCAGTCCGAGATTGATAAAGCGCTGGTGCAGATCAGGAAGAAGTTCCCGCGTGGCCAGTTCCCCCAGGTGGACTTCACCCCCCTGACGCAGGTGGTGCAGGACACGCCCATCCTCATGCCGGACATTATGCAGGTGGGGTCATAGTTTGCTTCCATGACAAGTCGCAGGCCCATGTAGATCCGGGTTGGAATTGGTCTTCAGCAACCCATTCTTGTCATAAGAGGCAACTAATGGGATCGGGTGGTCAGACTTGCCAACTTGGTTGATGCATGCCATTGTATCCCAGTTGTATGGAGTGATACTCATGATAGGATTGTCTGGTCAAGATTTGACTTATTTACAGCTGTCATATAGCTGGAATATTGCTGAGTGCAGTGTCAAACGACAAACTTGACATGCTGCATGATTTCTATTGATGAAAATACTACTACTATTTCACTATTATTGATCATAAATGCCATGATTCAAATTAGGGAAGTAACTCAAGACTTTGATAATGACTATGAGTCATGTCACCTCAATAAGGGAGGTAACTCTAGATTATTGTGTAAGACCTGGGCATGTCAGCTCAATAAGGGAGGTAACTCTAGACTTTGATAAGACTGTCATCAGTGGATTCAGATTGCCACAAGGTCTACATCATAGACACCCAAATATTAAAACCTAATAAAAATGTTAAATATTTAAATAATTTTTTGCATTTTAATTTTTGTCCCTCAAACTACTGATGATGTGCCTACTACTGCCTATTGCTGGAAAGGTTATTTTGAAGTTTTGGCTAGTCATTTTCACTAGAAAATGGGACTTTGGATCCAATGAAGGCATAGTGTTTAGGGGATGAATGCGAGTCATCTTCAGTTTATACATGTGTTACTGGTATTCCAGCTGAACCTACCAGAGGGTGTCTCGGTGGACATTGTGGTGTCCAACATCGTGGACGCTGGCCACATCTTTGTCCAGCAGCCAACACACCCCACGTTCCCGTCCTTGGAGCGACTGAACCACTTCATGATGGCCTGCTATACCCAGGACCAAATGGTGCCCCCTCTGCCCAGGCCAATAGAAGGTATGGAGGGGGTTCTGGGTCAGCCGTCTTAGAAATTAACACTAGCCTGCGGGCTAGTACAAAATTTCCAATTTCCCCATTGTTTTCACATTGTAAGGGCATTTTATCTTTACCCGCGCTAGTAAAGCTTTTGAGTTTAGTAGGGTCCCTATTAGGGCTATTTTGATGCTTTGTCAGACAAGATACACATCTCTAAAGTAAGATTGCAACACGATTTGTTGCGTGAAAAATCAGCACATATTTTATTATCAAAGGGAATGAACAGAAGCCCTTGTAGGTCTGAATTAATTGATGAAAAAGTGGCTTCGGAAGAATCATATATTCTGTTCAACTCCCAATCTGAAAAACATTATGATTACTTTTTCAACTGTTAATTGTTTTTGTCATAACAGGTTAAATAGAAAAATTCTACTTATTTTTTAGCATGGTTATTTTTCAGACCAATATGAATGTCCACATGTATGAATGTTTGTAATTATTTGATTGAAATACGCTTCATATGTTAACATTTCCACAATCTTTTTCAGTTGGTGTGATCTGTGCAGCATTCATGGTTGACGGTTGGTTCCGAGCACAGGTTGTGAATGTGAATGAGAGTTCGGATGAGGTGGACATCAAATATGTGGACTATGGAGGTTACGCACGGGTGCAAGCTGCCATGTTGAAACAAATCAGGTGAGTTTTGCACAACTTCCAATTGGTCAGAATCTTTGGTCTCCTCAAGATAAGGCTGAAATATTGCCTATAACTCACCCACTCACTAAGGTTTGTCTAAATCGGTGATTGTCTTGTCAGACTCTCGTGTTACATTGCCATTACAACGAAACAAACTTCTAAATGTGATTGCGTAACAGTAATAGAATGCGTGTAAGTTTACCCATTGCAGTTAGATGCTAATTGGTTGATAGCAACGGCCTCTTGTTAGCCTAACCATGCTCAAATGGAGTAGGGGCGGTCGGGTAGCGTAGTGGTTAAAGCGTTCGCTCATCACGCCGAATTCGATTCCCGATGTGGGTACAATGTGTGAGGCCCATTTCTGGTGTCCCCCATCGTGATATTGTTGGAATATTCAGGGATGTGAAATCTCCGCGGAAACGCGGAAAATCGCGTTTTTTAAAACAGTAGTCCTCGGAAAAAATCATCTTCCGCGTAAAAATTTAATTAAAAATTAAAAAAAAAACCTCCGAAAAATATGATCGAAAACCGGACATTTGGAGCGGATTGTCCTGTTTTCGATCAGGGCTTTCACCAGCGTAGGTTTTCGGACATCATACGTTTTCTGTCACGAATACTTGCACTATAACTTGAGGTGTGGGTCCAAAACCCCATGTCATGGGGATATATGTTGTATTAATGTCTTATGTTTGCAATGGAGTTTTGTTTTTTCCATCAAAAGGTAAGTACAAGGTAAGTTTTTTTCAATATGCTTCAACATGGGGAAAGGGTCAGACATTGCACGCTTGTGACAGTTGTCCTTGTGTCTGGGGGATGGGGGTTGAAGTTTATGGCAGTATTGCTCCCAGACCTGGCGGGTAGCCAGGTGCGCGAAAGCTATGCCCAATTTTTTCAAAGTACTGATTTTACTTCGAAATTTTACTGCATCTGCCATCTTGTTTATTTGACTTATTGACTTTTGCCATTGACTTGTTACATTTCTTGGTGTGAATGTTGTCCAAACTGCACGAATTGCCCCCCCCCTAGACCCCCCCCTAGACTTTTCCTCTTTTTTCGGGAAAACCTGCTCACATCCCTGAATATTGCTAAAAGCGGCGTAAAACCATACTCACTCACTCAAATGGAGTAGTTCATGCAGATATCGCCCAAGTTATGTATAGCGATACATATCATATCGTGATACGCATTGATACGGGAGGTAGGCATATCATGATGTCCCTGATATAGTTGGAATATTGCTGACTGTAGCATTAAACAAAAAACTGGATCCTTAATTATTGTATATCAGCGACCCCACTATCTATCATATCCAATAGCACCCATAATTTATGTCAAGACAACTTGATGACTGATTATTCCAAACAAAGAACTCACTTTATCATCCAAAACTGGCTTCCACAGGTCAAATCACTTGGTAGGCAATGTTGCTATGGTGAAATTGCATGACACTGCTTTGCAGAGTATTGTGACATCATTGGTTAGCATGATGTCAAAGTCAAATGACGTAACTAATCCGTCTGACACTGATCCTGATTAACTAGCTCTACTTTTTACACTCAAGACACTAGTTATTATCCCCTGCCACAAAGTTGGAGGGGGTTATAAGAATGGGTGCTGTCTGTTCGTCTGTCACATTTCATTTCCAAAGCATAACTCGCAAACCGTTTAATATTTTATTACAAAAAATTACATATGTATCAAACACATGCTGAACTGATGCCTTTTGCTGTTTCCTTGGCAACAAGTTGGACTACAGGTTACTTTCATTACCAAAACGCATTGATTCAGCAATTCGTTAATACATGTACCAAGTTGGAATGAAAAATCTTTCACGGTTTTCGAGTTATGCTTAGGAAACTAAATATATACGGACAGACAGACCAGAAGATGACTGATGACTTTATCCCCCCGCATTAAATGCCAGAGGAGTAAAAATCAGATGGTTTGTCGTGTTCTTGTCTGTATCATATATCCATAATTCGTTTCATGTTGTATCCATGACACTTAATACCAATATTAACAAGGTACTGAAACTGTCATGCTATTTTGGATTTTCTACAAACAGGAAGGCAACATGCTTGTCATAAGAGGCGACTAATGGGTTCGGGTGGTCAGGCTCGTTGTCTTGGTTGATGTATGTCTTAGTATCCCAATTGCGTGAATCAATGCTCATGATGTCAATCACTGGATTGTCCGGTCCAGACTCAATTATTTACAGACTGCCAACAAGTGGCTGTAATATTGCTGGGTGCAGAGTTAAACAACAAACAAATGTAAAATATGGTAAACTGCTATAGAATAATGTCATATGTCTCCAGCAAAATCACTGCTTGCTGAGGAATAATCTGTACTTTAAATGTAATTTAACTTTGTTTCAGGAGTGACTTCATGACCCTACCATTCCAAGCTGTCGAGTGCTACATGGGGAACGTGACACCTCTACAAGGTGAGTTTTGCCTCCGAACCCCTGGGGAAGAATTCAGCCAGTCTCGATATATGCTTTATTTCAGTCTGATCGCTTTCAGCAAATGTGTGCCCAGCACCGTTGAACCTACTAGCCTAAACTTGCCCATCATCATGTTTATTGACCCCTGTAGGACCCTGGGTTAGACTTGGTCCATGGGTCGATTGTTCTTTACCCCTGTAGGAGCCTGGGTTAGACTTGGTCCATGGGTCAATTGTTCTATACCCCTGTAGGAGCCTGGGTTAGACTTGGTCCATGGGTCAATTGTTCTATACCCCTGTGGGAGCCTGGGTTAGACCTGGTCCATTGGTCGATTGTTCTATACCCCCATGGGAGCCTGGGTTAGACTTGGTCCATGGGTCGATTGTTCTATACCCCTGTGGGAGCCTGGGTTAGACCTGGTCCATTGGTCGATTGTTCTATACCCCTGTAGGAGCCTGGGTTAGAATAGGTCCATTGGTCGATTGTTCTATACCCCTGTAGGAGCCTGGGTTAGAATAGGTCCATTGGTCGATTGTTCTATACCCCTGTAGGAGCCTGGGTTAGAATAGGTCCATTGGTCGATTGTTCTATACCTCTGTGGGAGCCTGGGTTAGACTTGGTCAATTGGTCGATTGTTCTATACCTCTGTAGGAGCCTGGGTTAGACTTGGTCCATGGGTCAATTGTTCTATACCCCTGTGGGAGCCTGGGTTAGACCTGGTCCATGGGTCAATTGTTCTATACCCCTGTAGGAGCCTGGGTTAGAATAGGTCCATGGGTCAATTGTTCTATACCCCTGTGGGAGCCTGGGTTAGAATAGGTCCATGGGTTGATTGTTTGATATCCTGGTAACATCATACGGAAAGATACAAAATGATGGTACTTGTTATTGCCTTGCCTGGCACTCGTCAATAATGGGATAAATGGAACAGACTGGCCAGTATAATTTATCTGAGCAGTGTATCCATTTTAAACTGCAGCATGGTATCTCAGTGGCCTAGCATTACAAAACAGGTATTAGTCCGGACTAGTGCAATTTTACCTCAAAGATCCGGGGTAGAATACGTCTTCAGCCACCCATGCTTGCGACTACACTTGTTGTAAGAAGCGACTAACGGGATCAGGTGGTCATTCTTGCCGACTTGGTTGGTGCATGTCATCAATCCCAATTGTGTGGATCGATGCTCATGATATCAATCACTGGATTGTCTGGTCCAGACTTGATTATTTACAGACCACCGTCATATGGCTTGAATATTGCTGAGTGTGGCGTTAAACAACAAAACCAAACCAACCAATAATTTCACCTCACTTCCCTCCTGTGCACTTAGTTTTGTCTTACAATTCATCTGTGCATGTGTTTCAGAGGAGGAATATTTCAGTGACCAAGGCAGTACAGTGTTGGAAGAACTGACCCAAGGCAAACTACTTCAAGCTCAAGTCATTAACCGTGCGGAGGATGGTATTCCATACATCCATATCTACCAGATCAGTGGAAACAGGGTGAGTGTTGACACTATCCTCACCCAGGAAACCCACTGAGAATTGACTATTAAAATATTTGGTCTGTATCTACAAGATCAGTTAAACCATACTCAAGGTTCAAGATGGCAAGGTTTTTTATAATCAAACTGATGATCTTTTGCAGGTGCTGTTTATTAACAGAGAAATGGTCAACCGGAAAGCTGTACGGTGGATTGAGATCCTGCAGTAGCCAGAACCATCAAACCACATCCTTGGTTGAGAGACGACCCCCCCCCCCCCCCCTCCAACAAACAATCATAATGCCACAAAAACTGACGATCAAGTACAACAAAACCCATACTTGCTGCTGTACATAGTCGACTATCAACCAGATTACATTTTCATTTAAACTGTATTCAATTTCTAGTCTTGAAGACCTGATATATCTGAACAAATGCTGACACAGCAGTTTAATGCATTCTCATTGACTTGAGCAATGACTTCAGGGGTGTGATATGAGATTTTATCACTTAGACATACTTGTTTATATTTTTTGGGTTTACGGATTTGGTGCTAACCAATTTGCTTAGGATGGTCAAAATATAATAGATTTTTGCACCTCAATATTTTTAGCTCACCTGACATAGTTTGTAATGGCCTGTTTTTCTGGCAGAAAATACACACTTGACCAAAGATGCTGAAAGTTACTGTTTATTCCCACCATAGATGGAACCTGAATGTTCATGAGGTTTGAGTCCAACATTTAAAATGGCCATTGCACCCAAAAAACTGATTAATGTCCCTTACTCTGCCATCTTTTTCAAAATGTTTCGTATATTTGATATATATATGTAGTTAGAAGTAAATGTTCTGGTTTTCTTTTCTATTTTGGCCTTATTTGAACTTATTTGACCTTCACGCTTTAATCAGGTCCTGTTTATCATCTCAAAAGGCATTCTCTTCTCTCTCAACGTCTTTTTATGTGAAATTACTGATGAAACTGAAATTTGATGTGCATGTTCCTTCTGATGACATATTTTGTTCAAATCTTGATTTTTACACAAAAACGATGACATCCATTAAACATATTTTGAAAATAAGAAACAAAGTTGTTCATGGCCAGTCAGCTTCAGTGTCAGGCAATTTTGCATAAATAAGTAATTTTAGCATAAACTCTACCTCTAGAATACAATAGTGAAGAAGGTTTTGTCTGTTTCCTTGATTCAAGTATTGCAGTTTTAATTTAATTCACTTTGGATATGTCACCATTATGAGGTTTAAGTGTCATAAAAACAATTCTTTGTAAATCAGATTGGCAACAGAGCCGTGTGGCTCTATTTTTGTATATTCCTATCCGTAAACCGAAAAATTAAGAATAGGGTCCAAGCAGGACTTGTTAGGCATGTTGAGTGGTACATGAACAAGTGAAATGCGAGAAGAGACAAAAATCATTTTTGTGACTGTTGTCATTGATGAAAAACTTGAAGTCAGATTGAGTGTGATTCGAGACACAACAGCAACATTTGTGACTTCGGCCATGGTTGTATATTTTGCTTTGTATGTATAGAAAACTGCCAAATTTATGTCTTTAGTCGTCATGACGAAGCCAATTAACAGCTGCTCTGTTGTTTGATATTTTTGGATGTTTTCATCAGTGGATGTGTTGTGTTGTCTATGAAATATTTTTTGGGTTGTTTTTTCTGTTATGTACTCTGTTTACATCAGAATGTGCTACGTCAGTGCTAAGTTTGACACCATGTAGAATTATGTTTTAGTTTTGTACCTTGATTGAACTCATCTCCTCCAGCTGACTGTATGTTTGAAACTGATTGTGGTTTATGTTATCGTCGATAGTAGACTGTAAATGATGATCAATTCTGTGATGAAGGTTTAACCCAGATCAAAAAATATTTTGCTTTCTAAGTCAATCACAACCGTTTTCTTTTATTATTATTAAGGGACTAACCATATTGATATTTGGGGAGGGGGGCAGAAGAATAAATATATTCCTCCTCTTCCCCGTTCCTCCTCCCTCCATCCTCAAAATAACAAATTGCCAACAAAAATCTGTTGGTTTTGTTTGTTGGTTTTTTTATTGGATTTGTTTTTTAATTTGGCTTATGGACCCTCCGGCCCCACATCTTGACAAATTTCAAAAAGATCAAATGTTGACAGTTAGGGGCAGTAACTCCAGCCACATCCGGGTCCCTTGCCTTCTCATGGCAGAATGTTTTGAGTACTTTTAAATATTTTTTCCGTACCAAACTGAATTATTCAGTAGTAAATTTGTAAACCAAATTTTTTAACAAAAAGCAGGAAATGGAATAGCCTGATGCAAACTCCAGGCCCACCAGAATATTAATTGGTCAGTCCCTAATGTTTTTTACTCATGCATTTAATCTCACCAATAATAAGATATTCAAGATAATTCTAAGGTCAGTATATTCTAGTCCTGTTGATGCCGTGACCATTAGAGGAGGACATTAATTGCTCAAACTGCTGCTTGCTGAAGTAGTTTTGTTTTCTGTAAAGACGCATTTGTGACAGTTATTGCAGTGAAGCTACTAATAACTGGTACATATTGTATCAGATGGTGAATGTTGAATTATGTATTGACCGTGTTTGCTGATCTCGGTTGTGTTCAATGGCCTTTGTTTTGGTGGGTTATTTTTTGTTGCTACGTTACACCTTCCAGCCTTTTGGCTTCACCAATGTTTAGTATTACAATACATTTAAGTCAGAAATATTGTCTCAGACACATCTATTCAACTCACTACAAAGTCATGCCTAGTATTAATAGTGAAACATGATTGTTTTCACAAGGAATAAATAACAGTGATCGCCCTGTCCATGAAGATGCTTTGTTCAAATATGTATCAACAGTTATCTCCCCTGTTTCAGTTCACTTGCATTTTGGTGATCAGTTCTTTTTTGTGCAACTGATATTTTGAAATATTTTGTCAATGCTGAATAACTTTTAAATGCATCACCTATTTATAATGATGTTCATTGTTTTGGTCGCAATTTACTGTGAAGTCATTCACCCAATCTTTAAGCAATATTGCACTCAAATTTTGAAGTTTGTAAATTCTTGATACATAATGAGCCTAGAATATGTTGATTAGGTGGTCTAGTTGTGCCTTTTGGAATTCAGGATTTTGATCTTGATACATTTTGTAGGAATAGTCAATCCAGATATTTTGACTCTGATAAGATACCTCTCTGCATGAAGATGTTATGATACCTTCATAAGAGGTCATGTCACATGAATTGTCTCATCACCTGATTAGAAATCAGGCATCTTGGTATTTGGGTAGCCTAGTGATCGTCGCGCCCAAGACCCGGGTTCAATCCGGGTACAATGTGTGAAGCCTATTTTGAGTGATCCTAGGATAATGCTGGGTTATTGCAAAAAGCAGCATAAATCCATACTCTCTCACACACTTGCTCATTGAGGCTTCTAAATTTTTTGAGAAGGTAAAGCTTTCAGGCCATCTTGATATCTGCATCTCAAGGTTCACTGGACTTCTACCTATGGAGTTGTATTCTGATATTCACGCAGAGAAATATCGTATATGAGTGAAAGATCTGATTTTAAGAGATTGGGCATTGACATCCACAAGTTCTGCTTCAAGTTTGGTAATAATACAGACGAATGTCAAATCAGAAGTTTCACTTCCTCTGCTCCACGTTGCACCAGTAACTCTTGTTCTGAAGCTGATATAATGGAAGCTGCAGTTTAGACCTTCCTTTAACCAGTGGAAAGAAGCTCTTAACTTCCTGAAGTATTGTCCCAGTAACTAGGCAAAGATCTGTTTCTCTTTCAGCTTGTGACATTGTCAGTTTCACAATCATGATCAAAATATTCCTTTATGCATACTTTTTTACATACACATTTTTTGTGATCATGCAAAACATATTCCTGATATTTTTAGAGACTGAACAAAATAATCTCTCGGGGGGGGGGGTTTGCAAATTTGCGAACAACTATTTTTTTGTCATGTCTTCAACCACAGTCTGATGTAAGAAGGTATAAAGTTTAAAGAAGTTGTGAATCCCGAATTTGAATTTTATTTGAGCATTTTCCAATCTCTTTAATATGTGATCTTACTGCTTCCAACTGCGAAACAAAGATCTGGGGACGTTCCATTATGGGTCATGTCAGAACTTCCTTTTATCCAAGCATTGTCAAAATATTTTTCAAAGCGCTGTCTTTAATGGAAGTCGCCAGTTTTAAACCAGTGCCGTAAATCTTGAGAAAGTTGCTTTCTGATTGGCTAATGTCATCATCTTGTTAGTCATTTCAGTGATCATTCCAGTTTCGCGTAAAGGTCGTACTGCTGTCTTATTGTGTAGTCATTACTTACTGTAGAGGTTTCAGGGTCCATACATACTTGAACAATGCTGGAATGTAACCCTGTTCTATGAAAAGTACAAAAATTTACCATTTCTTAATCGAGTACATGAAATAAAATCAGGAAATGTATAAATAGTTCTTGAAAGGTGCTGGAATTTTATTTGAAAAAAAATTACCTAAAAATATTTTTAAGCATATTTGTAGGTTCATTTACTTCCTTGTCACTTAGGAGATCGAGCAACAATACAACAATCAGGTGACCAACTGTTCAGAAGAATAGATAGTTGAATTGATTGTGTTGACGTTGAAATGTTTCTTCTCAACTTTCAGGTGACAATTTTATTGATCTATTTTTTAATGAATAAAAAAGTCAGTTTTGGGGTTTTTTGCTTTGAAAAATGATTGATAAATGCTTTAATTTTTATCCTAAACATCTATATGAACCATGAAGCTTTAATGTAATTGGATGGAAAGCTTTTGGTGTAAATGATCGACAACAAGACATTGGTGTATGTATTTTTAGCAAAGATGCACATATATAAAAGCATTAATAGGGTTTTTTTCTGTGTAAACCCAGGAGCTCCAGGTTATATTTATTTCCTCTGAGATTGAACTTGCCATTTGACCTTCTACTTGCCCTATAAAAATTTATGAAGGTCGAACATCCTTTTTTCAGATTTTGAACTATGGTAATATTTAATGAATTTTAGGGATTCACTGACATATTACTTTTAAATATTGGGAGTTCTGCACTTCACTGGGCACATTTTTTTCAGATTTCAATTGGTAAAGGGGGATCGAACTCACGTCACATGAAGATAAGTAGGCCATAATTCATGAGTTAATTTGCCAGCACTGCCTTGGGACGACCACCACTAACTTGATAAGAATCTCACAGATTTACCACAGATTACATTGGATTGATTTCAGAGGTGAGGTAGCCAACCTTAACTGAACCAAGCTCACAACTAACTGTTGCAGTGGGGTAGCCTAGTGGTTAAAGTGTTCACTCGTCACACTGAAGGCGTGGGTTCGATTCCCCATATGGGTACAATGTGTGAAGCCCATTCCTGGTGTCCCCGCTGTGATATTGCTGGAATATTGTTAAAAGCGGCTTAAAATCCAACTCACTCATTTACAAGTAACCCTAAGCATTTTGAAACTATCAATATTTATCAATACCTAACATTAGGGATCAGAAAGGCTTGATTGGAAAGGGGATCCAAACGCTAAGGATAGCTGAGGGTAACCTACCCTAACACAAATAACCATTAAGATCAAAGATCAGTCAAGCCGTAAGAGCCTATTAGCACACAATAGCTGCGCCCGGTTAACTGTCCTTTTGCTAAGATATTTCATGCTTTTCACTTATACCGGTCCATATAAGTATCGATTGGTGTATCATGGATACAGGACAAGTTCAGATCTGTATCATCTACCTGTGATGCTACGTAAAGGGCGACTATGCTTGTCGGAAGAGGCGACTAACGGGATCGGGTAGTCAGGATCGCTGACTTGGCTGAGGCACGTCATCATACCCAATTGTGTGGATAGATGCTCATGATATCAGTCACTGGATCGTCTGGTCCAAACTCGATTATTTACATATGGCTAGAATATTGCTAAGTGCTGTGTAAGACAACAAACAAACAAATAAATAAACAAACAAACCTGTGATGTTAAGAATCAATAGGCCCAGGTAATCCTACTCAAATAAGGGATAGGAGTACTTAATGCTAAGTTTTGGGTACAACTTCTGAAGCTAAAAGGTGCTCTTGGATATGATATTCGGTACTATCATGCTGTTTGCATATTGTTTAATGTTTTGTAAAACCAAAATTATTTTCCTCTATTTTTTGTTTTCTTCACGAGTTTTTGAATTTCTCTAAGTTTCATGTATATAGTGTCATATGTTTGGAAGTTACATGTGAATACTATTGATATTCATAGCTTCTGTGATCCAGTCAGTGATATAAGACTAATGTCTTTTCTAGCTTTGTCAGTTTGCTGTAATGAATTGAAGGAAACATAAGGGTACTCTTCTCTACTCTGTTAACTAAATGTTTAGTCAGTTTATATCTCAAACTCGGTTGGCCGAGTCATCTAACGCGCCGCGATTCGCTGTGCAGAGCTGCATCCCTGGGGCACGCCAGAAACCTATGATTGTAATCCCGGTTCCCCCCGATTATGTTTCTAGGTTTGTCAGCACCATACCCGTGCTCGTGGGTTTCACTGAAGTGGTAAAGTCTTAGACCTGCATCACTTCAGGCTTTCCTCTCACATTAAGTTGACACGCCGCAATATAACTGTAATACTGTTAAAAGCGGCGTTAAACCCAACTCACTCACTCACTCATGTCTCAAACTGAAAGGTTAGTGATAAGTGTTGTTACAAAGAGATGTAGGCTGAAAATGATAGTGTTGTAATGATTACTTTGAAATAAGTTTTGGATTTGCTTATATAGTGTGGTATTATAGCTTGTGTGGAATCTTGGAATCCAAAATTTAGTTCCAATGAGTGAAACCCAGACATGGAATATGTATTAGATGCTGACAGTTACTATTTTGACAAGAGTCTATATAGGATTGTGAACGAAATTCTGCCAACCGATTACGTGAAATATATTGCAAATTTTTTCACCAAAAAACATTGTGTGTAATTTATACTAACTGACTTGTAAAGAATTTTTTGCCCTCAAAGACCCAAATTCAGTCCTAATGAGTAAAGCCCAATCATAGTGTCCTAAAAGGGCTTACACCACTCATTCATACGTTACTGAATTTGTATGCCCAGAATACCCAAGGGAGATTACTCATCTCATGTTCCAGCCACTGCCAGATGTGGTTTCAGCCACGAACACATTTTGTAGTTCTTTTATACTTGCCACAAGCATTAATATGGTTACCTTATCTTTGGTTTATTTCTTCTCAATAACTTCATGCTATTTACTGGAAAGGATTATGGTACTATTAAATCCATAAAAGGCACTGTAGTTTGTATAAGCACTTTTCACTGATCGTACGACTTTGGACTTTGTATTGACGCTAAGATTTTATTGAATTTGAGGATAAACCATTAAAGTATATTGAGGATAGATTTAATGATTTCAGATTGTTGCTGTAAATATCATGATGCTGATGTCTTTACAAAGATTGCTGGTGTTGTTTGATATTGTGATTTTTTTTTTTTACAAGGCCAGACCAATTCATTTTTTTGGTGCAGATTTGCTTGTTCTTTAGGACAAGAGGTGAGATGAGACTAATAAGTGTTGTATGGGTTGGCTTATTTTCTACAAAAGAACAAAGGAAGTTGTAAAAACATTTTCTCAAGCAGCATTTATTTGAAGAAGAAAAATAATTTTGTAGACAAAAAAGGTAAGTTGGTCTGTACTTGATTTCAGAGTGCTACTTCAGAATGAATTACCAGATATTTAGATATGATAGAAATTGTACTATTTTTGCACTACAATCTACCATATTGCATTTATTCTAAGATTTTATCTGATTTCTCTTACTATAGGATATATAGATAAGAGACCTGTTTGCAATGAATAAATAAATAAATCTGCTTTGTTTAGTGAGACAGTGTTTCCCTGTGGACTTTTCCTGTTTATTTTTTAGATGTTTTCGGTACATGCCGAGTCAGTTATGATCAATTTGTTTGTGTATTGTGAGTAGTGTGATGTTCTGTCAGTGTTGTCAACATGTAGGTCTTTGTACTGAGAATGCCCATCCCTTTATAACCTGGTGGTATTTGTACCTTGGCAATGTTTGCATAATATTCCTGTCCCATTGAGAAGCACAAGGAGAGATAACTTAATACCGGATGTTTATTATAATCCAGAAGGTTTGGTGAGACAAACACATTCATTTTTAATGCGGAAAAGCCCAAATCTGTTTCTCATTTGAGGGTCATTCAATCAATAGTGACGTGGTGTGACTGTACACACAAGGGAATGAGATACGAAAGTTTTATTTTCTAAAATGAACTAGACAGAATAATGAAATTCATATTTTAATCAGTTTCATGTTTGAGTAGAAGGAAGGAAGCGTAGTTTTGCATGATTCCTTTATGATTCAAAGGACATTTTTCAAGAACAATCTAATTGGAAATACTGTATTCGACGTAATAAGCGCCCATGGCGATATTTGCTAATATGTTGGCAAGTGAACAATCCCAATTAGCACCCCTTCCGATTGATCAATGTACACAAGACTTAAATTTATTCATGTATAATATGCACTTGATCATGTGTTATATGCAACCTTAATTATGGGCAATTAAGTTCTGGAAAAATATATTTGTCATATATAAACATTTCAGGCTGTCTATGCTTAGCATAAATAACGAAATTACTGATCTTTCAACTCTGTTTTTGTTTTTGTTTTTTGTTGTTGTTGTTTTTTTAGGGGGGGGGGGGGGGGGGGGGCAGGTCTACATTTTAATATTCTAATAAGAGCCCCTTATTTCTAATTTCTAACTTATTATGTAGAATACGGTAGTTAACTTTTCTGGCAGAAAGGAAGAAATATTTAACTTTTATTCCCGGTTTGTTTTGTTTTTTATAAATTTTTGGTCAAATAGCAGATCTGTAAACCGAATAGATAGAAAAAGCATGATTTTGCATGATAAAAACAGGTTCTTGTCAGGGGAAAAGTTTTTGTTTTCAAATGTTTCCTATTTTGTTTGCTGGGACAGAAATTAGTGACTGTCCCTGTGTTCTGGAAGCAGGGTGGAGGCACAGGTACCCCAGGTTATGCTAGGCTATGGCAAACAAACTGTACATGTCCTGTAAATACCTTGATCTAAACTGCAGTACAACAAAATCAGGTCATATTTTTATAATTTGACAAATATTTTTCCAGTGAAGAACACAAATAGCACAGACTTGTTCTCTGGTGATTTGTTTTATCTGTTGCCATGTCCAGTGTAGAAATCAAATTTATCCGTTTTATTTCCTGCCAAGTTTGCGATGCATTAATAATATCCTCCTCAGTTGTGCTTCCACATTCGTGATGACACCAACATTTTGAAGCATTTATCTGTAAGTTGGGGAGATTTTTAACAGCACTCAGTT